CTATATTGTCCATATCAAGTAGTTTTTCCTGGTAGCAGAGTTCACTGGATGAAGATGGAGAAAAACTGCAATGTGTGCTTTGGGTGACACGTAATTAAAGCAGTTGAAAAAGGCCTTTGCAGGGGAAAGCTGGGTCTGAGGGTTATTAATAGAAATTGCAGGAAGAGGTTGAGAGCAAGCCAAGGCAGGAAGCAAAAAAGAAAAAAACTCAACATGCCACAATACCAGGAAGCTATAAAACCCATTAATCCCCACCCATGAGGACATCCATCCAAAAAGTAAAGTTTTGTTTTTAAGGCAAGGCTAATAGCTGAATCCAGCCGTTCTGCTGAAGCAATAATTTCTCTTGGGCTTAGCGAGGGGTCAAAAAGAAAAAGGCATGGCTCTTAAACTGCATTTTTTGGAGAGCTTCGATGTGCCAGAGAGCGATTATACGGGATTTTTTCAGTCTCAAAGCATCCTGCAGGCTCTTGGTTAAGTTCCCCAGTCTTCTGCGTGTGATCCCTGATGCCCATGCAGGATAAAAACCTCTGCTCTCAAACCGGGCACTTGCTCTGAGCGGGAGCTGCTGTTCTCCCCTGCTTCAGAAAAGCTTCAGAAAGCCCTGGCGTGTCTGAGTTTGTAGAAGGAAGCCAAGATGTGATGCCACACGTTATAAAGCCCCTGTTTAAAGCTGAGGGTGGCTCCATTTTAAGTGTGCTGTGCACTAAGGGGTTGTATTGCTTTACAGTAAGTGAGAAGATAGAGCAGCTGAATGGAAAACAAAGGTGCGCTTAAAGCCAACCCTTAATAAGTGGTGTGATTAGTAAATGCTGGTGCGTTATAAACTGCCACTTCCACCCTACTTAGATTTCTCATGCTTGTGTTAAAACAATGCTACTTTATCTTCCCCCATCCTTAGAAAGTTTCCTTTAAATCAGTTCCTCTGAGTTTCTGCCATTTAGCACCAGTGCCTGGTGCACCGTGGCTGTTATCTCTCCCCCGCAGCCTCCAAGCATTTTGGACACACGACGTTTGAGCGTGGCCCAACGCCAGCTCTGGTACAGGAGAGCTGCACAGATAAGCTAAGAGAGATTGGTGGTGGTGTCTCACTTCGGCTCGTCGTCTGCCTTTAATCTTGAGCCGATTAATCTGGCCGAGGAGGAGCGAAGGATCGGGAGCGAGACAGAGAAACAGCCACGGGTGACGGGTGGGTGGCAGCCGAAATCCTGGGGAGTAAGAGCAGATGCACCTTGTAAGCAGTGTGAAGCTGCGTGTAATGACGGGAGAGCAAAACCAGGCGCATCGGGGCGGTGATTAAGAAGTCTCGGTGATTGTGGTTGGAGCGGTCGTGGTACGTGGGGGACGCAGGTGCGTGAATCCCGTTGCCTTCCAAAGGGAGGGGAACGCTCGGGTTGTCTGGGGAAAAGATAAGCAGACTGTCCAGTAATCGTGGGATCTCATCAGTATTTTACTTAGTTTATTTGTAAAAGACAAAATCCTTTTAAAACTGTGTTGTTAAAAAGCAGTTACTTTGCTGATGTAAACCAGCTTGCTTGCTGCTGAGCCATAGGCTGTTGCATTTTGGAGTCTGCATCTCAGAAGGCTAAAAGATAAATCTCCAGAATGTTTTCTGTTCATAGCTGAGAAACCACTGTAATCCTAGCTTTGGCTTTGCCATTTAACTTGCTGAGAGTGTATGTTAAATAAAGAGAAACATTAGGATTAGGTCTGAAATGCACGCGGATTCAGGGAGCCGCTACAAGGACCACAAGCTCTTTAATTCCTCCTTTGAAGGTTTCATCACTGATGAAGTGATGCTTAAACGATCTTTTTCCTTTTCCTTTTTTTTCCTTCTTCCTTTTATATCTGGTTTTGGAGCAACCTTTGAGCTTAAATCGAGCTGGCAACTTCCTGTTCAGCAGCTGACATCATTGGTATGGCAGTAATCAACAACAGGAAGAAAACATCTGGCCTTGGAAGCATGGAGAGATGAAGGAGGTGGTGGTGTAGAGTGAAGGGGTGACACCAGCCTCTTACAACAGCTTGTCTTGGGTCCTGCAGACGTGAATTGACCGTCCCTGGTTTCCGAGATGAAGGCTGACAGGGCAGTAAGCTGTCGGCTTCCCTAGGGAGGAGAGGTCAGGACAGCACGCTGCTTTTTGCGTGGGAAGCCTCCAGGGCAGTCTCCACGTCCGGGTGGGTCAGAAGACCTTGTGGTGCTGTGGTGGATCATACCCAAGGGTCATCTTGGGAGCCTGGGGCTGTGGGAACGCAGGGGATGGAGCTTTCATCAGCTGTGTTACTGCTGGAGCACAGAGACCTTAAAGAAGAGGCTTTTTGTGTTACTTTGAGCTCTTGAGCTGTGCCCCAGGGCTGGAGGGAGAGCTTCCTCTGAGCTGCGTGGGCGATTGCTGTCCACACCAGCAGGCACAAGTAGTTGCAGTGCTCAGTTCTTCTAACAGCAGGCAAAGAGTCAGTCTTGATCCTGCTCCTTTAAAAGATCTAGGTTCATTCTTGCGTATTTGGGCTCTAGCTGTTAGCTTTTTACTTAAAACCAAACCCAACAAAAACCCCAATCCTTTCAGGAGCCGTGGCCTGTAGAGATGTAGGCCATGATCATGCAATGTAATTGGCCACTTCCATTGTGGAAGGATGGTAAAATTGAGGAGACATTTGCATTTGTGTCTGAATTAGCTCTAGAGTAGCGCTTAAGGTTACATCCACCTTCCTCATGTCTTACTGCCTGCTCCAGGATGCCGTGTCAGGCATCCCATGGTGTGCTCTGCCGTGCTGCTCCTTCACTGGGTCTCTTTGGACGAGATAAATCACAGGCTTTTGAAGGCTGTTGGCTTACCCTGCGTGTTCAGACCTTCTTCTCACTGACTTCTTCCATGTGAACATAACAAAGTGGTTGATCAGCACTATTTGAGCAGAGAGCTGCTATGGAAACAAAGAGTGTTCAGTTTTGATGGGGTTGATGGGTGATTTGGCTATCGGTGAGCTCAGGGGAGCTGCCATGAGATGTGTCGGCACCACAGCTTCCATGAGAGATATCCCTGATCCCCAGAGCTGCCTTTCATGCACACATGCACCACTGCCTCCATGCCTTATCCTTATTGCAACCAGCTGTGCTTTGACTTTGTCAAGGATCTGATAGAGCTCCCTTACCCCTCTCCCAGTCCCTCCCCAAAGTCCCATTAGTCATCCTTGGGCAGCGCATGAAATGAGCTGGCAATAAAGCTCTGATCCCAGACACCGGAGTCATTCCTGGGGGCTCGGTGTGGGCTGTGAGGACTCTGCTGCATTAACTCCTCGGTGCCTCCACACAACATTTCCCAATGCCCATGAGCTGTGTAGCATCTGAGGGCTGAGGGAGCTCTTAGGGCACCTTTTGTCTAAGTAGAGATGGATTTTTTACTGTGGTTTCGTGGAGATTAAAGGGGGTTTTTTTGGCTTTTTAATTAGTCAATGGGCTGAGGAAGGCAGCTCTGGCCATTTGTGAAAAGTTGGGTTTTCTCTGTAATTGGTAATGCAGGGAGAATGTTATTTTTCTCCTTGTAGTTCAGACTACTTAAGCTAAAGATTAACTTTGGCAGGGTGACAAGGGGCTACGTACCGGCCAAGAAACAATTCAGTCTGCAAGTTAGGGGAGGGTTTCTGACCGCTGGGGAGGAGGAGCTCATGGAGCAGAAATTGGATTTTTTGTAATTTTTCTTTTTTAAAAACAGGACAGTTTATCAGCTGGTTGCTTTTGGCGAGGGTGGTGAAAAGCACATCCCTGACGAGATGCCAGCCACCATCAAATTGCAGCGCTTTCACTCATAGCACAGATTTTTCTGTGTCATTCCCAACCCGGGTGGCTGCAGCTCGTGGGTCTCAGTGCTGCTTTTGCAGCGGGTCAAGAGCTCCCGGTGTAAATCCAGTTCTTCAGGCAGTGCACAAGCAGTAAATCTGGGCTGCTGCATCTGCGTGGGGGCGAAGCAAAGCTTTGTACTCGCCGAGAGCCAGAAGGGCCCAAGGACTTTGTTATCCCAGTTGTGATTTAGAGCCGACTGCTGAGCCGATGGCAGCCCAGATACTCACCAGCGAAGTTAAAAATAAACCGCTCGAGATTCTCTACTGATAATTGAAGCAACTTTTAATTTGTGTATATGATTTGATGTTAAATCAAGTCAGGGCTCTCTCCTCCTCCCCAGCAGTGCCTGCCCGGTTTGTGACCCCTGAAGTCCCGCAGGCTTCTCCTGCTCTCGGTGTCTGAGATGCTGGCTTGCTGCTTTTGTTTCACTGTGTCTGGTGGAGATCTTAGAGATCCCATTAGAGGTTACTGGCAGGGACACTAAACCTCCAGATCCACATCTCTGGTTGCCCTTTGAGGCTGTGGGGCTGTCCTGTAGCTGCTGATGGACCCAGCTGCTGCTGGAGCCCATGTGTTAGACCAGGAGGAGGATCAGACTGAGGCAAGCAGCACCTTGTGTCTCTCCAGCCATGACAAGCTGTTGGTCCTGCTTCTTCCAGTCCTCGCTTGTGTAATTTGGGATGTGGAGCATAACTCAGCTCTGATCTGTGTGGAGCTCTTGGTTGTCACTGTGTACGTGCCAGTGGTAACACATCTCTTGGATGCGTTTTTCAACATGTCCAGAAGTCACTGCTTGATCTTGAGGTGCTGGATACCAAAAGCTGCCGACTGATGCTCACAGGGGACCTTGCCTGTGTCACTGTTCATTTGTTGATTTGTCACCAAACAGGGGAGCAGTGTTTATAGAGCTCTCTGCCGTGGTTTGTGTTTGCTGCCCTAGGAATTTCACTTGCTCCATTCACAAACAATCGCAGTAAACAGGCTGTAGTAATTGAACTGTTTTATTCATCTTTGGCTCCGTAATCAGCTTCCTTACTGCTTTCTCAGATGCAGAACTTTAGAAACCAGGTCTTTCAAACTCAAATATTTTAGGGGAAAAGGGATGGCTTGTTTTAAAGCTACTGCACCAGCCATTTACCAGTGCTTTGGTTGTCTTTCCCAGTTGATCACGTGGTTCCTGAGCCAGGGACCAGTTTGCTGACTGCGTTTGACCAGTGGCGAGAATGGGCGGACAGCAAATCCTGCTGCGACTACTCTCTGCACGTGGATATCACCGAGTGGCATAAAGGTGTCCAGGAGGAGATGGAAGCTCTGGTTAAAGACCATGGTAAGTTCAGCTCCGAGTATTTTTTAGGCTTCTGTGAAATATTTTACTCTTGCATGTCAAATAAAGGCTCAGGGGGATGGCACACACTGGTGTCACTGCAGTTGTCAGGTGGGTGAGGTGAAGAGGTGAATCCTGTGCTGCTGCCATGCAGAGGAGCACCTTTGTTCAGTGAGGGTCTTTTGATTTTCGTTAGTGCAGGTAGGTGATGGGTTTGGCCATTAAAGTGTCGTCAACAAGTGAAGAATCAGGCCCAGAAGGAAGAGTCCAGCGCTGCTTGCTAAAAGTGGAGAAGAGCTGAATAAAATGACCTCATAGGTTTTTCCCCTCTTTAATTTCCTTGACGTTTCATCCTTAGGCTAGAGTAATTTTCCATCCTGTTGTTTAAAATAACAACCTCCTAATGAGTGCTTTCCCACACATGTCGGGTAAGAGCTTTTACTGGTTCAGAAGGCAGGAGGGGGAAAGCTGATTTAGGAGCGCTCCCCGTGTCTGGTCAGTATGGATGTGATGGAGGAGGGCACACATACAGACACGCATTGCCCATCAGGAGGGAGCCCCAGTCTCTGCTTTTGTGCGTGATGCATTTTACTTATTTTTTTACCCAGCCTCCCACAGTGCTGAATCCACAGAGTTATTCTTACTTCTCCATGAAGTGGAAGCCTGAGGGTTGAGCTGGCCCCATGGCTGGAGCGCAGGCTCCTCCGTTCTCGTCGCCTGTGTTAACGGATGCCACATGGCTGAGGAGGTCCTGGCTTTACGCTGGGGTCTTGTGTGCTTGTGTGCACGCATTTCACAGCAGACTCAAGTCATTTATTTGTCCATCATTACTGCTTGCTGGGGGGCTGATTGAGGGGGACATCTTCTGTCTTAATAGCTTTGGTTTAATAGCTTTGTCTGTGCCTGCAGTTTGTACCTCAGAGATAATTCCTTTGCTCTCTTTCCACCAGGTGTGAACTCCTTCTTGGTGTACATGGCTTTCAAAGACCGCTTTCAGCTGACTGACTCTCAGGTAGGAAGGCTCAGTGTTCCCGTGCTGCTGTCACTGCAGGCTGTGCGTTAGTCTCTTGTAAGGATTTATTTTCAGTACGCTTGGATCTGACATTCTTTTCTGGTGTCAGTCTCTGTGTGTGTAACAGTACCTAAGATTTGCAGTAGTACCCAGAGCTCTGTTTTGAAGATTGTTGTTTTTAATAAAAAAAAAAAGAATTACAAACCCTGAAAGGCTTGGCTGGGCAAAGCAATGGCAAAACCCTCATTTTGGGAGATCTAAGGTTTCATTCCAGCTCCTTTGGTGTGGAAGCAGTGGCAGTTGTATAAATTGCTGCTTTATGCCTCGGCGTAGGGCAGGACAGTGAGATCTCTGGCATAAATACTCGGTGTTCATGAGTTGAAACCGATCCTGGTCCAGAAGTGGGTTTCTGGCTTTAACGTTAAAATTCCTAGGACCTTAAAAAGGACCTGCCCTCCCGTTTGCTGTTCTGATGGATACGTTTGGGTACATTTAATTGTTGAGATGGGCAGTTTATATTTCTAAACACAGTGGGAGGAGAGGAATGTCTGGGAGTCATCTGGAGCAGCGTAGGAGGCAGTGGTGTATGACCGTTATCTCTAATGACTCTGGGAAGGGTTTTAATGAGTGGCCATTGACGAGCCAGCGTCAGGTTACTCAACCTGAGCCCTCTCAGCCTGGTTGCTGGAGTGGGAAATCACTGCCCCTTTCCCTTTCTCTTTTCCATTCTGCAAAATTCCGTATGCTAAAGAAGACTGGAGTGTATGTTCTATAATAGATGTGCACCTGGGTGTACACTTGGTGTATATGGTAACGGGTGTTTTCTGTCCTCTAGATATATGAGGTCCTGAGTGTAATCCGGGACATCGGTGCGACAGCTCAAGTGCACGCTGAGAATGGTGACATCATTGCTGAGGTATGTTAATGTTTATTCTGTGGATTCTTAGCTTCAAAATGCTGGGAGGGATTCAAACTCTTAATTCCTCCTTCGCAAACAGAAAATCACCCAAGATTTTGAAAAGCATGGCATAGCTGTGTCAAGGATGCAAGCAGAGCTGTGTGTCAGATCTTATCCCCTCCATTGGCACTGATAAAACAGGTTTCTGTGGCAGCTTTTGGCTTGTGGTGGATATCGACCATCTCTGCCTTTCTCCTCATAAGTGGAGAACTGTCTGGGTGTGACTGTCACTGTGTGCAGTAAAATATTCTGCAGAAACTAAGACCAGAGGGAGCGGGAAGGGTGACAGCTTCATATAGTACCTGGGATGCTGATGTCTGGGATCTGTTCATCCTTTAAATAGCAGCAAAGAAGAAATGTTAACAGTGTATTTGGATTTAATCTGATCTCCAGCTCATTTTATACATTATATATCAAGTGTGCAGAGCTGGATGTTGCAGAGGATTTCTGCACTGAACTGGGGAAGAGCCCACCTCACTGTTTGCACCCAGTTGCCTGCGGTTGCAGCACAATTTCTTCATGAGATACCGTTTTGCCACATCTCAGAGATTATTTTGTAGACACAAATGAGTAGTGAAAGTCGAGGGGCTTTGAACCCAGTGGGAAGCAAATCAAAATAGAAGGTTTCCCTGACCTCCTGTGAACAAATCAGCAAGGGTTTTGTGAGCTCTGGTTATTCTCAGCAAGGGAAGCTGGGCAGGACTCTGGTTGTAAGGCCCTTCTGTAAAGCCCCATGTGATTATTAGCTACCACAGATGCCTGGGATCTCTCTTGTACCTCCTTCAAACAGATGTGTTTGCCACAAGAAGAAATGTGTGTTGCTTTAAATCTTTTTCCTGCTCTTTTTTTCTGCCTTAGGAGCAGCAAAGGATCCTGGAACTGGGGATCACAGGCCCTGAGGGGCATGTGTTGAGCAGACCTGAGGAGGTGAGGACTTCGCTGCTTTTGCATTTATTCCCCCAGTTTATAACATTTCTGCATTGCCATCACATACCTCGTGTTGAATTGATTCTGCTGCCGGCTTTTCTAGATCCCATTTCTTGGCCTTCTCTCTCAGTCCTTTAGCAAGACTTCCTCAGAATCAGCAGAAATTTTTAATATACACCCAAATCCTGACTTTCTGTCTTAGGCACTCGCATAGCTTCCATTACTATAATATTTGATCATTTAATGACAGTTTCACTGATGGAAGATTCTTTACACCGAGGTACTAAGTGGTTTGCTGAAGGCATAGGAAATAAGTACCAGAGAGGGGAGCTAATTTTCAGATCCTAGCCCAGCACTTTAGTATAGTTAACCTCCATACTTCCGCATTGGTTTCTCTAGGGTCAAGCACCCCAATCCCTCTCACTTCTTCTGAGTCTTTAAAATAAATCTCAAGAGTAAGAAAGAGCCTTAAAACTTTGCTTTTCAGGTTGGTTCCCATTGGATTCTTCCTTTGCAGTATCTCTAAAGTAGACACCTCACCATGGCGTTCTGGGTTTGTGAAATCCGTGCATTATACACATGCAGTTATTTTAGTTCCTCCAAGATATTGGGGCTTTGCTGACTGCCAGATGTGGCAGCTGGAAGCTGGGTGTGTGAGATCATCCACACGTGCCCCTCATGCTGCCTCCCTATCTCCTCCCCTCGAATCAGACCGGCAGCATCCAGAGACCTTTCCGCAGGAACATAAATCATGCAGTTGCTTCATGCAGATGAGGGGAAGAAAAAATGCTTGACTTGGGCAGTTTGTGAATCCTCACAGCATTTGTCTTTGGCTCTGGGAGCTGGGATTTTTTGCTTCCTGGAAGTTGTGAGCAATCACTTGCACTCAGCTTTCCACCCACCCACCCCTGTGCTTTTTGAGCGTAATTTCTGGCTTGCATCAGGAGAGCAGGAACAGATGGGGATGTGATGCTAGGGGCTCACCCCTGAACTTCTGTTGACTTCAAAGAAAGGCTGCTCCTTACCTGGAAGGATCTGGCTGTCAAATTAGCCCAGTCTCATCTGGCTACTTCAAAGTTCATCCTTAGAGGAGCAGGAGCTTTAAAAGTGCAAACCGTGTGACTCCTGGCTTGGTTGGTTGGTTACAACTGTGCAGAAATGTGGTCTTTCTCAGTTTAGCAAGGAAGACTCCCTGAGGACTCGTGGTTGTCTCAAACTGGGACCAGTAGAGCCCCTTCCCAGTGTCACTGGACAGCCCTTGTGCAGCTGTGCCCAGCTGTGCTGTCTGCCGGGAGTGGAAGCACTTGGTCCAAAATTCTCTTCCATTAAAGTCATAGGAAACAGGGCAGGAAGCGATGTCATCTGGTTTCCTCCTCTCCTTTCCTCCGGTGCAGGAGTAATTTCATGTTTTTGAAACCGTACAACTCCCTTTCAGCTGCCTGATGACAAAGGCCAGATTCTGAGGGTGGCAGCAGATCCCTAATTCCTGTTGATTTCAGGAGGAGCGGATGTTTCTTGGTGTCCCTCTGGGGCGCTGTTAGCATTGGAATTGGCTTTTCACGCTGCCCCTCATGGAGTGCAAAGCCTGTCCCGAAAACTTAATGATGGTTGTAATTTTATTGAAGAGCTGCTTAATTCAGACCTCAACTGGCAGGAGTTGTTGAACAAGCCTAAAATATTTACTCAATCAAAACTCCCACTCAGTTCAGTGGGACTTAGGTCTGAGTGAAGCATTCAGGGTCTGCCCATCTGCATTTGTGCCTCACTTGGAGCATCCACATCTGAATTCCCAGGTAGAGCAGAAGGCGTGAATTAAGGCTTAAGCTTTGCTGCTAACTCGTGGGTTTAAATGTGCTCGCCTCGGTGACCTGGGTTGAGCCAAGGTGATGGTGTTCAGCACGTTGTTCCAGCCAGCAAAGGGAGCCTTCATTAAGACACCCTCATCCCAAGTCAGCATCAGCCATGGCTTTCTGGAGAACTCTCCCCCTCATAGCTCAGATCGTTCTGTGATGACTTTTCGGAGCGATCCTCATTTTTTGTTTTTATTTTAGCCACAAAAACGCTGCACGCACGAGCGGTCCAAGTGCTGCAGGAAGTGTCTGTCTTTTTTTCCAAGAGAACTGCTGTGCTAGGGCTTCTCATGCATACTGGTAATTGCAAACATTCCCCTTTGGACGAGTCGCTGGGTTATTGTTATGTGCCTGTCACCATAGCATCTGGCCACAAGGCATGAATTCAGCAGCCTTCTTCTCTTCTGTGCAGAAAAATATTCTCCTCCTGTGTTAACAGTTGCTGAAATGCTTTTTGGTCAAAAGACTGGAGATACGTGTTGGTTTATCCCTGTTTTACAAGTGGGGAAACTGAGGCACAGCGTGGAAAGTGTGCTGGGCCAGAAAATGTCCCCTTCTGTCCATCACCCTGCCTGGATTAGTCACAAAAGGTGACCCTTTCGGCACTGGAGACCAACCTGCTGCCTCTGGGGGCTGATTTTCTTATAAAACCTCCCAGCTGTTGTCATGTTTTATTCGAGCAGTCCAGCTGCAAACAGAGCAGTGTTATGGTGGCTTTGTCAGCGTGAGCAGAGCTGCTGTGGTCACTTGGTCACTTCCTAGGCTGATGGGTCCCTAATGTCAGGAGCTTCTTTCAGTGGATCAAGCGTGGTGCCAGGAGGCAGCGGTCGATGTGTTCTGATCGTGGCACTGGTGATGGTTTACGGTGCTTGGCCTGCAGTGAGTCCCTGCAGAGCAGATTTTCAACTGTGCTGAGCGTGTGCCAGCCCCATTGGCATCCACAGAGGTGCTGGTGGCCTCTTGCATTTGGGAATCAGGTGTCTTAATGGCTCTGGGTTTCAATTTCCTCTGTTACTCCCTTGGAAAATGCCTGTGGTATTGCAGGCTCAGTTCTCCATGGCAGCAGGCACTGTGAGCGTTACCCTGTCGTTAAATCTGGCTTTGATTGGGATGTGTCATCTGTACAAGTCTGCAGAGTGGTTATGTCCATTCTAAGACGTGACCCTGAGTCTCGCTGAGTTTCTCTCTCTACGCATGCAAGAAAAAGGGATTTGATGTATGGGATGGTTCGCGCTCTGTCAGATCCCGAGCCAGATATTGTAGTGGAGGGTACAATTTAGGAGGCTCGTTTGCAAACGTGGCTTACCAGAGTATGTGGCTGCAGCATCTCTCTTCCGCGTGGGCCGGAGCACGAATAGTTTTGTTGAGTCAACATTTAGTCGCTTATTTTTGTCTAGGTTAAAGAAGGGGCTTAATTATTCTGACCGTGAGCACCTGGAGTGTTGATTTAGGACTCGCAGAGAAACTTTGAAGCAGCCTGGGAGGAAAAAGTGGTAATGAGAGGGGACTGCAGCTTGATGTCATTTTAATGATTGTGATTGCTCCGTACATTTTCCTGGCTCAGACTCAGAGGGGTGGAAAGTCTCTCATTTTGGCCCTGCACACCCTGTTTTCCTGTGACCTCTGAAGGTGGAAGGGAGGTGCTGATGCTCGGGATGTCGCTGTACTGACTTGCTGCTGGCTTTGCTTCTCAGGTGGAGGCAGAGGCTGTGAACCGGGCAATCACCATCGCCAACCAAACCAACTGCCCCCTTTATATCACCAAGGTGATGAGCAAAAGTGCCGCCGATGTCATTGCTCAAGCCAGGAAAAAGGGTAAGTTATTTCCCTTGGATGGAGGCACCCTATTAGCTCATGCAGTTCAATTCTTGCCAACATGAGCTTCATCCCTGCAGAAAAGGTTTCTTTTTCCAGTGTTCTTGTCCAGGCTCTTTTTTTAAAGGTCCCAAAGCAACGGCTTCTGTCTTATCTCCCACAGATGAGTGTTCAGTGGTTGTATCAGTGCAGTTTCTTCTGTTCAGCCTGAAGCCTGTCTCTCCACACTCATCCTACCACATTAAACCACATGCCTTCGTGTTATCACAGAGTAATTCCTTGCTGTCTCCATTTATTGAATCCCCCTGGAGGCTGCAAGCTGTGTCCTCCTTTCAGCCGCTGTGGTCTTTCCTTGGTGCTTTCTGCTGAGCTGAAAATCACTTCTGGGGTCAGAAGTGATTCCAAGAGTCCTGACACAGAACTCTGACTCATGAACCCTGTTGGGTTTAGTTGGAGCAGCCAAAGAGATTATAAATTCCAGCTATCCACTGTGCTCCTTGCTTCTGAAAGAAATACTCCTCGTGTGCTGTAACTCACAGCCTGGTATCTGAACAGGAATTGGGATCAGTAGGCTGCGTTAGACTGGGAACTGCATTTGCCTCTGATGATGTTGCGAGAAGCAAGACTCAGCCCTGTGGTGAATGCTGCTGCCTCGTGTCTGCTCTCTCTGAGCAAGGTTTGTGATGGAGCTGAGCTGCTCTGAGCGATGCAGTTGGGTCCTCCTGAGGAATTCAGTTGGGTTCTTCCAAGTGATGCAGTTGAGTCCCCCTGAGCTGTGCAGTTGGGTTCTCCTGAGCGATGCAGTTGGGTTCTTCCCAGTCCTGACCCTGCTGTCTTGCCCCAAGCAGCGAGGGTGACAAAGCACAGTGGGTGCCTGTCTCCCTGCTTTATGCTGTGACTAAACCCTTCATTTCTATTGAAAGCGGCTCTGGGTGGGTGACTAAGCAGGAGGGATGATTTCTCCCCTTCTTTACTCAGAAGGGTTGGATTTAATTCTATGCAGTCTAAATAAGCCTGAATGGATACACAAATGACATCACTTTCCATCTGGGTGTTTGGTGTGAGAAGAGCCAGTTTCCTACCGCAGCAAACAGATTGGTGTCTGTGTATTGGCTCAGGGGTATTTTGCTCCCATGGTTCCTGTTAAATGAGTTCGGAGTTGGTGAGAAGGACTGATTTCCAATGCATCTCTTTCTGGTCGTCGTGTGGAAGCAGCTCAAGGGGTATTTTGCTCCCATGGTTCCTGTTAAATAAGTTCGGAGTTGGTGAGGAGGACTGATTTCCAAGGCATCTCCTTCTGGTTGTGGCATGGAAGCAGCTCACGCTGTCTGGGATAAACCTTCCTCTCCCAGCTCCATTAGTGGAGGTCATGCTGAAATGAGAAGAAGTGTTGACATGCAAAACTCCAGAAAACAACTTCATGTGGCTGCTCAGGTCAATCCTTTAAGCCAGGAAAGCCCCCTTCCTTTTTCTAGGTAAAGTGCTGGAGACATGTGCACCACAGCATCAGCAAAAACACCCTCTTGCTATGCTTGCTGTCCTCTGTGACCACTAACTGGGAAGTAGGTGGGAGCATTGGGATGAGGGACCATACACTTACATCACATAAGCCATAAAACACAACCTGACTTGGCTGGATGTGGCCCTGCCCCTGAAAGGTGCTGGGATTGATTGATGAATGATCCACAAAACCCACTTTCCTTATCCTCCAGAGCGAACTAGCATACGTAGTTTTCATTCAGACTGCGTTTTCTCCTTATAAGGAGAATTTGGGGTATAAATGGCACGCTGTTCTCTGTTCCTTTATTGAAATAATTCAATTTAAATGCTGTGCAGTTACCCAACTGGGTAACCCGGGAGGGCCACACACACTAGCCTTGCCCTCCCAAGCAACAGAGGAAACATAAGACTATCCAAGGCGAAAACAACACAGAATTGATTTGCTGAATGGAAAAGAACGAATGTGATTTAAAGCCAGATGTTCCCAGTGGCATTTGTATTTGTATTTGAGGAGAATCCCTGCAGACGCTGTCGTTGGCAGATCTGGAAGCTCAAAGCATCGCTCCCTGCAGAACAATCCCCCCAATGTACTGGCCCACAACAGGCCTCCCATTAATAGCCAGCGTCTGCTTCGCCTTGTTCTGATTTTGTAACCCTATTTCTGGCGAGTGATGTCAGACGGGCTCTTCCTCTGCTGGTGCATCCCTTCTGACAAAGTCCCTGCGCCTCCTGTCCCAGTGTGGTCCTGGAAGCAGCATGAAGCCCGGTACAGCATCATTATGTGCTCCATCCCAGTGTCAGAGCCCATAGACATAACAGCAGCTCAGACAGTATATGAAATAAATATATATGAATATGCTAAGCTGACCAGTTCTGGGGTTGCCTTTGCCAGTCTATTCTGATTAATGCATTTAGGGTGAGTATTTCAACAACCCACATCTTTTGCACGCAGATACCTGAAGTGTCTAAGCTCAGAAGCCGTTTTGCAGAGATTTCAGGAAGGTCTCATTTGGTGAGCAGATCTGGAGGGGCTCCCAGCTGGCATCGCTTTTGAAGTTGCAGCGTCTTGCATCTGCTTGGCGTGCAGATGTTGCTGGTGCGTTCCAGCTTGCAAAGTATCGTGGCCTTAAGGATCCGCTGCTCCTTCATGTGGTTCCAAAAATGTTAATGAAGAGGAAGGATGCACTGGTGGTTGGTGTGCTGGACAGGGTGTCAGAAGGTCTGATTTCATTTCCTAGTGCTGCCGCAGATTTACTGTGTACCCGTGGGGGAATCACTCCACTTCCCTGAGCTGCATTTGTGAACCAGAAACACGGATACTTCCTCTGTGATGGGCTTTCTCTGCAGGCAGTAAACTTCCCTGACTGGAGTTTTCTCTTATCTGATCTATGCACAGAGCCTGTGCCAGTAAACCCAGTCTTGCTGGATCTTTAAGATATTACAGGTGCTTTTTTCTTCCTTCTTTTTCTTCCTCATCCCTTCTGGATCAGGCTGCATCTTCTCACACTTCCAGTTCCCCTCAGCCTCTTTCGTCACGTTCTCAACCCAGGATACAACACAGTGAATCTTTGCAGTAACCCTTTCAAGCATGATTAACCAGCACTGACCTCAGCAATTGTGTGAAGGCATTGTACACGTTTTGCTTCTCCACATTTTGTTTATCAGTAACGGTATCAGATATTTAAATGTTCAGATACTTACTCCAAGGGACTGATTTTTGGAGAACGCGCGTTGCTTGGTGCTCACAGTGGATTTCTCTGTGTTCCTGTCCTGTAGGCACCGTGGTGTATGGAGAGCCCATCACAGCCAGCCTGGGGACCGATGGATCTCACTACTGGAGCAAGAATTGGGCGAAGGCGGCAGCTTTTGTTACTTCCCCACCACTCAGCCCTGACCCAACCACTCCTGATTTTCTCAACTCGCTACTGTCCTGGTGAGTAGAGCTCTCTGTGTTCATGCAGCATGTGCTTCATCAGGAGACAAGTGGGTGATAAAGATAAGGGATGATGTTACCAGCAAGCAAAAGGCTGTTTTACCTTTAGGAGTAAACCTGTGACAATAAAGTATCTTAAATACCTATCACTGTCTTTTCCAGTGGAGACCTCCAAGTTACTGGCAGTGCCCACTGCACCTTCAACACTGCTCAGAAAGCTGTTGGGAAGGACAACTTCACCCTGATCCCTGAAGGAACCAATGGCACTGAGGAGAGGATGTCCATCATATGGGATAAGGCTGTGGTATGTCACACGTCTCCTAGGCTTAGGCTGCAGCTGGGCATTCAGAAAGTGTGCTACAATCTCCCCCGAGATGCTTGTTACGATCCTTTGGCTTGAGGTTTTTGCCCCTATAGAGATCATTTGGAATCTGCTGTGCTGTCAGTGATTTGCTTTTCGGAGTGGTCCCCACCTGGCTAATGCAGTGACTCCTTTTGTCTTCCCCAGGTGACTGGCAAGATGGATGAGAACCAGTTTGTCGCTGTGACCAGCACAAACGCAGCTAAAATCTTCAACCTGTACCCGCGGAAGGGCCGTATCGCAGTGGGCTCGGATGCTGATCTGGTTATCTGGGATCCTGACAGCGTCAAGACAATCTCTGCCAAGACTCATAACATAGTAAGGAGATTTCCTACCATGTGAGCTCTGCTGCTCATTTCCTCCTCTCTTCCTTCAGTGCCAGACTGCGCTGCCACAAACAAGAGCTCGTGACAGCTCAGGGCTTTGTTTTCTCCATGCCCCAAGCCCTCTCTGCCCTTACACCCAGTGCAGCTCTGTTGTGTGAGCAGAAGGGAAGACAATCGAGTCCGAATCTGAAATCACATGAATACCCAGAGATTCCCCTCGGAGCAAAGAGATGTCTGCTCTTTCTGAGTGGTGGATGCTCGGATCTCAGCACACAGCCCTTTAAAGCTTCTAAAATATCAAAAGGCCTCTTAGCACAATGTGCCATTTGTGACCTTTTGGCTCGCTAGCAGTGGGAATGGGAACTGCCCGTTTTCTGGCTGGGATCAGTGAAGTTTGTCAGCTTGTGGACACCTTAGCTGATTTGATCCAGATCAATGAGCCTGAGTGGGTTTACACTGCGTGCTGATCTGGCACATTCATATAGAGTCATACTTAGGCATGGTTTTGCTGGTGATCATCCCCATGTTAGCTGGCATGGAGAGGCAGAAGGCACCTCCCAGCCTAACCAGACCTTCCTCCCTTGTCTTTGTGGTGGCACTGCTTGCTTGTGGCCCACGGCTACATCCCACATCTTCTACCTGGCTCCTGCAGTGAAAAAGCTGTCCCACCAGTGGGAAACTGCAGTGGTCCCAGTGCTAGGGGCTGGTTGGAGTCTGGCTGTGACATTCGAGCGCTGTCTCAGAGAAAGCAACCACTGTTTGCGTTTGTTGACGACTCGTTTCACTGCTGGCGATGAACCTATGGAATGTTTCCCTGGAAAAAACCCTCCTTGTTCTTTTTTCCGTGAATGCTTTCATTCACTCTGGAGCTGGAGGAGCAACATTTTCTTCCACACTTGGATCCCTGGGCACATTCACAAAGAAACTTTTTTGAAAGGTTTGGTTCACTTCCCTGTGACTTAACCCTGTGTCAGAATTGGTCACAAACAGTCTGGCTTCATCCTGCCCTTGCTTAGACTTCAAAGAAACTTCATCCAAACTCAGATTTGGTCACTTCAGTCACCTTAGAGGTGCTTCCAGACTCGTGGCACCTCCAGTCTGGAGAGGAATGACTTAGAGCAGGGACCCCAGGGATGTTAGTGCTGTTATGCCTGGCATTACACCTGCTGGAGTATTTTCTGTGTGTCTCACTGCCCGTGTGCTTTGTGTTAGAGGAGGGATTGATATGAGCGATGCCTTTCGAGTCGAGGCATCCTGGTTTGGTCAAGCATAGAACAAAAGCCCTTTAGAAAGTCAGGCAGAGCGGTTGCTGCGACACAGGGAGACGTAGTGATTATGTGGCATCGGATGATGGTTGCTTTTTTAAATGCTAGAGCAACATACGGCCGTTTCCAAGAATTCACACTGCTCTGGCTGCAGTCTGGCAAGGAAACGTTAGGAGCTGGGGAGGGAGATGGTGTTGTTCTTGGAGCCAGCCTCATCCATCAGCTCCTGACCAAGCCTCCTCCTGTGCCACCACAAGTGTTTTTCAGCCTGGACCGGGTTCAGTGTCGGTTTAACCGCCATTCGTCCTAATTGCAAATCTGCAGTCAAGCCTACCCATACTTATAACACACTTCCACAGCAGACTCCCTTATTAACTCAGTAAAAGAGACCTGGATTTGCCTCCGAGATGGTCAGTGGAGTAAAAGTCCCCAAATAACGTGGTTGTAGTGCATCCCATTCCAGGGTGCTTCATGGGTGGGACATCACCGGCGGATTCCTTTAAAACTTGCCTTTTTTTCCATGGTGTAACGTTTCCAATCCTGTTAATTGAGGATGAGCAATCCCATTAGGGTAAAACAAGATTGTCCTGGTCCCTGACCCACCAGCCAAAACACTGGTTTGGAATACAGCTTTTCAAAATGATCGTTATTTTTAGCATGAGACTCAGATAAAACTTCATTTGGCTCCTAAATCCCTCACAGTTCAGAAGAGATAGGCACCTAAATGCATTTAAACAGGCTTTGAGATATTCACATTGGAAACCACATGTCTTCTTTATTAATCTTGTTTCAAAGGAAATTTTGCATGAGTAAATCCTTCGTAAATTTAGGCTGATAATAAAGACCAGCCTTTCTGTTAAACCACAGCATTTACAACTCAGGTAAAAGCCGTTCAGCTTGCTTCCATCTGTCCTTAAACTTTTGGCAATTAGCACGACTGGTGATTGGTAATTAGAGCGCAGCGGGCTTTGCAGGGATGAACACGTTTGCCTCACGTTGTGTCTGTGTTTGTTGCAGTCCCTGGAGTACAACATCTTTGAAGGCATGGAGTGCCGCGGCTCGCCCCTGGTGGTGATCAGCCAGGGCAAGATCGTGCTGGAGGACGGGAATCTCCACGTCACCGAGGGCTCGGGGCGGTACATCCCCAGGAAACCCTTCCCCGACTTCGTTTACAAGCGCATCAAAGCCAGGAGCAGGGTGGGTATCCGTGGTTGGATGCGCATTTGCTCTCGCTGAAACTCCTGTGGTCAGGGGGTGGAAAACAGATGCTGTCCCCTGGCTCGCAGACACGCGCTTCTGCGATGGAAAATGTTCCCTGGGTCGCAGCCATGCGTGTCTCATTCCTCTCTCATTTTTGCTATTCGCTTGAGTCACTACAGGAATATGCTTTGGCTTCACATTGGATTTTCTGCAAGTTTTAGTTTTCTGCTCTTTAATTCTTCTCTGTCTTGGGACACCTGTACAGAGCATGTGTCCAGGAACTGTCCGCTTTGGACGTGAGTCAGTCTGCAAATAACCCAGCAGAAGAACCAAGAGAAGTTATTGATAGCGATTCTATATCAAGCCTTTCAGCATCAATTTAGATTTCTCATTTATTGTTATTGATAACATTATGCAGCTTTCCCTGCTGTCAGATAGGATCAGATGCTCTTGTCTGGTGACGGGTGAGTCACAGGCACAGCCTACTGACTGCTCAAAAGTGAGAGTTTTCTATTTTTAAGAGGCTGAAATTGTTGGAAAGTACACCCATTCAGAACAGAAACCGCCTTCTGATATGCCTTTAGTTGGTAAAAACTGACAGAGAAGATGACACCAAACTCAGCTGCAGCTTGCCTAGAATTTAAGAAGTTTATTTCTAGACGAAGTAGGTTTAGGAAGAGAGAAGTGTTCTCATGTTTGAAGTGTTGCCCTCTCCTGGACAAAACCAGAGCTGTGTTAGTTCTGGCCATAGGTAATAATCATGTTCCTTGCAAATGATATTTCCTTAATTGTTCTGATGAAGAAATCGCAAGTTATCAAAATTACAACCCCAAGTAATTCAGCACCGCAGAGAGCAGACCCGTGGTCTCTGTTGCGTTCTGGTCTCCCACAGAAATACGTGTCTGACCTCTAAATCCAATTGGGCAGCATCTCAACTGGAATAATTGCATTTAACCCAGTCTAAAGCTCCCAAGCTGGCGATGTGGAGCCAGCCTGGCTCTTCCCTGTGCAGCCCTGGCTCTGTCTGTGTGGTTTTGCTTTTTGGGGATGAGCAGTACGTTTCCTTTGAGGGTTGTCAGCAGTCTTTAATGCAGCAGCAGGTGGGTTGGGATCATGAAAGGACGGCGCAGGGGACAGGCTGTTTTCTGGAGGCTGCTCACACCAGCTGGGATCACTGCAGTCTGGAGTGCGCTTCCTTTTATCCAGGCTGCTTCGGAGAGCAGCTCCCGCCCCAGGATCCAGCCCAGAGGAGATGATGTGGGCTTTCAAATCCTCTTACTAACGACAAATCTCGAAACGTGTGTCTCTGGCTTAGCAACAGATCTGTTTTGAAGGCCGTTTTGACCCTGAAGGCTGCCTTTCTCTGTGTTTTGCAGCTGGCCGAGCTGCGGGGCGTGCCTCGAGGGCTGTACGACGGCCCCGTCTGCGAAGTGTCGGTGACGCCGAAGACCGTCACGCCGGCGTCCTCGGCTAAGACGTCCCCTGCCAAACAGCAGGCCCCACCCGTGAGGAACCTGCACCAGTCTGGATTCAGCTTGTCTGGTACACGCTTTTAAGGGTCTAAATGGCTTTGAAGTCATGGCCTATTCATACACTCATGCTCTTAATTAATTCTGCTGACATTGGAAGGCAGGGAGACAGAGCGTGAGGTGTTTTGAGCCTGGAGGTTATCCCTCTAGAAAGGAAGAGCAGCACTGTAGGAGCTGTCATAAAGTCCTGCTTGTTTCCATGCCGTGAATGCCAAGTGCCCCGCTGCGTTCTGGGCTCGGTCCTCAGCTGTAGAGGGCAGATGGCACCAACTTGAGCTCTGCCAGCTGAGACCAGCTGTGGGTCTGCTGTGTGGCGGATTTGATTTCTCAGTGTGCCGCTTCGGTGCAATAAGAGAAAACTATAAAAAGAAATCAGAAGGCTCGCTGAGGGAAAACCGTTCAGCCAGATCTAATCTGTGCAGGGCCGGGTGGCTCAGGTGTCTGGTGTGGAGGTGTTAATGCAGAAGAGGTTTGAGCAGAGTTAAGGCACTGGAGGCCAGTAAAGGCTTTTCCTCCCAAGCTGGG